GATTTCTGAGTCAGTCAGGCTTTACTAAGGTAGCAATCCGCTACAGAGGTAAGGCTATCGCGCACCCAACAAAAAAGTCTATTAATCGGCAGTTGACTTCTGATTTCAAACTACCATGACCCAACGGTATGCCATATTCTACCACTTCCACAGTACTCATCCTTCCATTTCTCTGCCTTCGTGTCTGTCGCTTTACATCTGTAAATCACTCTTCTGTTCCCCTCAACTCGATTTTCCGCTTCTTTGATGTTCCTTCCCTCTGTGAAGCTCGAAGTCAGCTAAAGGGCTAATGATAACTATTAAAACGCCTGCCAGTTGACATAAATAAATAGTTTGGACAATATAGCATTCTATTTAAGATAACTTTCATTTCGGTCACTTAATAAATATGATTTTCCAGCCTACAATTCTATCATTCGTCTGATAAACCATTCTTGGGGAAAGGTTTCTGATTAAAAAACTGTATTGTAACTTCACTGCCAAAGAATTGAGAGATGAACATATTTAATTTACTCTACACAACAGAAAACCAAACGTGTTTGTAGAGAGTTACGTTGCATTTCATCTGTGTCTATATTAACTCCGATTCCCCAACCTCTTTCATATGAAGAATTTCAATTGATAATTTCTTTCGCAAACCCATTAATTATTAGCGCATATACAAGGTAACTTCATCAGAATAATAAAAATAGGTGAGAATTTGACCCGGATTCAAAGAATTTAATTTTTCTTCCTGCTCAAACCCCCAGAGAGAATATGTGCTAAAAGTCAAGGTTTTCTATCGGGCCAATAACGAATGATTAGGGGGTCAGCTTCGCACATTTCAGAACAGAGGGAGATCAGCCGGATTTAAGTAGTCGTGTCCCAATATTAGTTTACCACGTAGTATGACACCAATTGCCTGAATAACACTTTGGTTTGGTAATAAAGAAGCCAAATTAGTCTTAAAAATGAATGCAGGATTATAGCATACATAAATGCATTTAAAATTTCATATTCATATACACTTCACATTAAAAAAGAATTGAAAAAGAGACACAAAGAGAAAGACATATGCTTCAAACAATTTCTCTGAGATCAGACCAGTTCGGTCCACATTTCACTTTCACAGGCAACGGAACACTCATTCCAAAAGCTGAATTCACGGAAGACATCTCTCTACGCAGGATATTACAGACTTCAGGAGCTTTCGCATCGGGAGTAACCTAAAATAAAAAAAATTGGATAAAACCTGCCCCAAAAGTCTAGGGAAATCCATTTTAACGTACAGAGTATATTAACTCATCGTGAAGGTGCAATACCAAATGAGCTGTGATATGCTTCTCCCTTCTTAAAGCCGAGTCTACTCTTTCCATGGCAAGTTTTGTGATATCCGCTGCACTACCTTGTATTATACTGTTGACTGCCTGCCGCTCAACCTATTAAAACATGAATGAAAAATTAAAAATATCAGGTCATACTTTCTGGAGACTTAGAGTTTGTGGTAAAGCTTTAACAAGTAACTTCTCAGCCTTCCACGGGGAAGGACACTTAGACGAGCTCTGATCATCTTTAGAAGACAGTTTCAGATCGTTCAAGAGGCGTACTCGACCACCCATTGTCCAAACAGAGCCCTGTTCGTGAGCAGACAATATAGTTTGACGGATAAACTGTGCTACGCCACAGAAGGAAGTCATAAAGGTGTCAATTAGTTTTTGAGCTTCCGAAAGGGCGATGTTATTCTGCGCAGCTAAACTAGCTGGACCCATTCCATAGATAACAGCATAGCAAAGTTGTTTCGTCCGTTGGCGTTCTTCGCTGGAGATAGAACTTGGATCCGTACGTTTTAACCAATGTGCTGCAAGCTAGATGCAATGTTTGATAAAATAAGCAAAGACAATACAGACCAGTTTGAAAGCGTCTTCGGAGGTAGTTTGAAGCATTGAAAGAAGGACTGTATCTTGGCTAAGATGTGCAAGAATTCTGAGCTCTAAATGGCAAAAATCTGCAGACACAAGAATAGAACCCTTAGGAGCCTTAAATGCAGATCGTGGACGTAGCACCTAGAGAAAAAGGAACCCATATACAATAATGGCAGTAAAATTTGTGTGAAATACTCTACTTGCTGGTATGCTGTTCTCACATTTTAGCAACTTCCTACTCACGTTCACTCAGCGCTCATGTACTGAAAAAACTCAGGTTTACCTTTCAATGTAAACCGTCCAATTTTTGAGGGGTGAGATATAAAGTTATTGATTTGTATTAACAAATCTATCAAAACCGATCCAGAGGATATCAAATTAGAAAAAAAGGTACGCAATAAGAATGTTCCAATTTATCAGAGGAGTTTCGACGTCCTTTCTTGGCTGAAAGGCCTTCAAAACGTTCGCGTCGAAATTATTGCATTTATAAGGCAAAAGAATTGCACGAAGATACGCAAAGATAGAGCAAACGAGAAAACTAATTTTCGTATAAGTGAAGACAATTAAAATACCCCAAATACAGTTCCCTATCAACCTCATATTGTAAAGTTGGAATATCTATATTACAATGAAATTTAAAACTGACCCATTTTTAAACCCCATCCCAGCTAAGATGGAAATGTACCTCAAACAACCTGGTTAGTTACTGAGAAATAAAGAAAAACTATAATTAATAATTATACGAGTGCGCCCAGGCGCATATGAATCATCTCACTTACCAAATCCTCATGTTGTGTAAATGTAGCAAGTGTTTCAGCAATTGAAGGGGGCCACTCTAACTCATTTGAAGAAGACCTTTGAGAATTAGTAAATGGAGACGGTGGTCGACTTCTCAGTGTCGACCAAGAGAAGCTGACTTCCTTTGGTACCGACTGAAGATTTGGCAGAGAAGATACAATTCTCCCGGTAGCTGTAAAGGTTTTATACACGCATCCTATACATGCATCTTTACTCGTCCGTTTATTTGAACTCTAAAAGAGGGATAATAGAGAAATTTGAATGTCAATTCTACCCCATGTCTGTCAACAGCTGTTCGACAAGCATTGACAATTCCACTGAACGACTTCATGAGTACACTATGAATGCGCCTCCATTCCATAATAATGGCGGGTAGAGGGTGCATGTGTACTAGCTGGGAAAGAGTATCACTATTAGTTGGTAGTTGTCGTGGACGGATAGGTATTCCAAAACCGAGGCGACTCTTCTTAGCGCGTTTACTTGCCGCCATTTCTGATGCGAGGCTGGTGTAGACTGGCAAGTGAAGACGATTGTATAGTATCTAGAGAGGTAATAAATAATGAGATTATACGGCTACGAAAGTAGTGTTGATGAATGCCAAGAATTGGGAACTTGCATTTGCAACTTCACGTGGAGATTCAAGTTCAAAGGAGCAGCCCACAAGAGCGTGGGCCAAACGTGAGAGATCGGTGCATATTTTCTCCATTTCCGTTTGGCAGGTGTTGAGAATGTTGAAATCCAAAGCTAAATAGAAAACAGAAATAAAGTATTCATTGGTTAAAATGATTGCATATAATGATTGTAAAATAGTCGATATTGCAGGAAGCCATCTATTTATATAGATCAATTGGTTCTAGGACATTTGAATACACAACCAAAATTCAAGTGAATCCAATTGAGACCTAGTTTACTCAAAATATTGATTTCTGATAGTGGAAAATATACCAATTAAAGGATGAAGTAGAGGTCACGTTTTCGAGTGTATGATACTTGACCCTAGCTTATATTGATAACCCTAGAGAATGTATATACTATAAAAATAAAAGCATAAATTTCATTGGAAATTTGGGCAAATATTGATAATTATAAATACACCCATTAATAGGAACGTTGAGATATCTGCATTTAAGCCTCTGCATGCCCGTTCCATGTGTGCACATCAGGTTTACTTTCCTTTCACAAGCTCAATATTTAATGGAAAATATTTCTGCATCGTTAACTATGGAAAACCTATCAGCGGAACCATTGAAAGTATAACCCGTGAGAAATCAGTTTGCGTGAAGAGGAAAGAGAACTTATTTTTGACTTACTCAAGAAATGCTTATCAAATTGACTTCATAAGAGTAAAATCTTTTCCTAAAAAAGTCATTTTAAGCCGTTCGCTACAAACAAAGATTTCGACGAAATTTAATGCCATAATAAGCTCGATATAGAAAAGATTTAAATATGTTTAAAACAAAAATTACTGACCAAAACCATGGCTTTCAGCACGCGCAAGCAGTGCAACAGTCGACAACTCCAATTTCAAAGCCGACGATATTGAGGATTGGGTGAATGTCAGCGAAAGAAGATAGCATTGAGCAGCCGTATTTAGCACACCAGGTGGATAAGGTGTCTCCTGAGGGAAATTCGATATGGATGGCATAGTAACAAGTCGCAATTTGTTCCAATCACTTAGTTGTGTCGGGGGATCTAGATGACACGTTATTGATCATTCCATACAATCCATACAAATCAGTTAACTTACCTAGGTAATAGCCCATAGAAAACAGCGTATCTACCACTCTCGAAGCGTTAGGAAGCACATCAACAAGCCTAGGTCGACCAGAATCTGGGTCTTCGATCCAACCTTGGTAGCCGGGGTCATAGAATCCATTCACAGGTACAGTATCTACGTTGAGGAGTTCATTGCACACTCGGACCCACCATTTTAAATCCCATACTATAATATTTAGATCCCGACGGGATAGAAAGCTTCTAATCCATTTTATCACGTCAATAGTTTTCGTCTGAACTGGGAGCCAAAATACGGAGCGCTGTCGTTGAATATTGATAGAAGATATTGCGAAGCCTTTCAGTTGTAGACAAACACCTGAATTCCCTCCACCATAGCACGAACTTCCTGCACAACCATCATGCCAAAGTAAAACATTTTCGGAAGGTAATACCCCATTACAAGTATCCCCCTCTCCAAAGATCTGCCAATGAGGTTGAATAGCCATTTGATGAATGCGGCTATCACTTTTCGAGGTTAGAAGACTTTCAAATTCACGCTGAAATGCTGACCACAACTTGAAAGTTTTTGTGACCTCAACCAGGGAGAATATTGCATTGCGGATGGAAACATCTAGGAGGTAATCGATAAATGCAGAGTAGAACTTACCTAAAGAAGCTTTAGGTGCTGAAGATGAAGTAATTTGTACCGATTCCTTGTTGCTAGCGAAATGAAGAAGACTCAAATAAAGTTGTGAGGAAAAGGATGCTCTTTTTCAATTATTTAATTTTACATCTCATTGATGCCGAAACTCTTCAAAACTGTACGAATAAGATAAATGATTGAACAGTAATCAAAAAATCTCATTTTATTCACCGCCACTGAAACTTCATGTTATAAACCACTCGTAACTAACCTTGAACCATTGAGTGAAATAGAACTTCTAGATAGACTGTTAAATATATCCTCATTGCTAATATTCTCCCTCGTAGCTGATTTCTCAGTAATTGCGTCTTGAGCCAACCGTTCCATCATTGAGAAAGTCATTGTATCATTCATCAACATGGGCACTTCACCCATGGATGACCAATTTAAAAAACTAGAAGACACATTCGCGAGTTCATCGCTTTTATTCGTTGCTGTAGTCTTGACTTCTTTAGTCGATGAAGAAGTGGATATATTGAGTTCATCACTTTTATCCAACGACGTTTTAACATCTTTATCTAATAAGGGTGTGGACTTATTGCCTCTGTGGTCGTTGACTCGGAAACTAAGGGGTGTATCACATTGAATATTTGCGAAAATATCCTTACTTAATGCATCTCGAGCATCCATTGCAGAAGTGGCAGTTTTATTCGCCTGAGTAGGGCTTGATGGATTCTCAAATGCTTCATGATCAGGTGTTAGAAGTCTTGAGTTTTTTACTGACAGTGAAAGACTCCTCTTAACAACTGGAGGACTAGTTAATTTGCTATAATCTCTCTTCCTATTCGGTTTCCCATTGTTTAAAACCGGGGAAGCAGCAGCAGAATTAAAGGAAAATTCTAGTTTAGCCGCTTGAGAGTTCTTTACTGCTGGTGATGCATATGGCTTTTGATCACTCCCTAGAGAAAGTGCTAGCTTTCGACGTTTTGTAGCGGGAGTACCAGAAGGAGTGGAAAAAGTTTGAGGCAAATCAATCCCGTAATTTGAGGCAAGATCATCCCTAAGCAGCCTCTGAGCCATAGAAGTCAGTAGAGGAGCTAAATCGATCTCACTGATTGCAGAACCGTCGGGAAGCATTATTAGGCGCGCTAAGCGCTCGTCTTTCTCCTTTGCACTAAAAAACGATAAGTCAGCTAAACAATTGGCATGGAAGCAAATTTCAGTCAACTGTACTAAAAAATGGCACACCTAGTGAAGGGATTAACCTTTTGGAGTACCCTTTCAATCTCCTTCGGCCTTGCTTTAGCAACTAAAGCCACTGATGTAAAACCAGCTTGGTAGAGAGCCCGAGCTCGACTGTTATTCAGGAGTGGAGAAAGACGAATAAGATCTAACAGTTCGTTGGAAACACCAAAGAAAAGACGCATTTGAAAACCAGAAAGTAGGCGTTCCATGTGGATCCAACCCAGGCGATTGCAGAAGACCGTTACCATACCTGAATTGGAGAAACAAATATCTCAACATTACTCATGTATATCACTGAACTAAGCCCTGATTTGCAAAGACCACATTATCAATTAAGAAAGAAGGCTATTTAGAAATAAAAAACGGAATAAGATATAATGATAATCTATTTGAAGGGACTGAGCGATTAAAGTATCACAATGGTAGGCTTTCAAAGAACTCTGGAACTCTAAAAAATACTTCAAAATAGAGGAAAGGTATCCGAAAATTTCATTAACGAAGAACTCGCATTTGGTCATAGCTAACATTGACCACATCAATGGAAATGCTAAGACGGTAACGGTTTCATGATCTCAAGTTTGGTAGCCTGCACATTGGCCCTGATGTCACTAGCCAACTAAAAATAATCTGAACACTAATCTTTTAACTTGAGTAGAGGGGCAGCATAATGGAGAAACTAGAATTCTGTCAATCCCTCCCCCCCCCCCCCAACTTTATTAGTCAGCCTCAATTAGTAAAAGGGACCATTTCGCACACTGAGTGAGAAGTGGTGAGTAGTGAACCAGTGAACCCTGATTTCGCATAGGGAGCATGTTAGACGTTGATCCGCTGGTGCAAACTACGGGTTAGGTTAAGATAACCAATGCTCACCAGCATATGTAGACGCTTGTTGCATCACACTCTGGAGCAAACCACGATTGATAGCAAACCGCTCGGCTACTTGGGCTAACGTATCTTCACACACAAGTCGATGCAGGGCTAATGAGAGATAGAAGCGTCTAAGCTGATTCAAATTAGCACTTTCCTTATCTTTCCTCAAAGCGACCTGTTTCCCAGCCAGACATCTCATTAATCCACGCTCTTCTACACCGAGCAGTTCCGCGACACGCTTTTCCGGTGGTGACAGTGATTGGAAGATCTCCAAGTAGCGAAACCAATCGATACTGCTGTCCAGATTTACATAGATTGGGGTCACCTACAATGCAATACCGAAGGGTCAATTAACATTTTCGATTTGCGTACAGGTGAAGGAATGAAGTCGATAACACGATTCTGGGGTTCAAATTGAAGCCGTGCATTCTACCATTCTTACTCACAAAGATTTTTTACGATTAACAGTTATTTAACGCTTTCGCTTAGTCATTGGAAGTAAATAAACTGAGAGGTTTCTATAACGAACTCCTCAATGTAACTTATTTTTATTGAATTCTGCGTTAAAACCGTTTATTACTATCTCCACCTTCTTCAACTATACCACAATCATTTCCTCTTCAGTTTGTTCCCCTTAGCCGTCTTACATATCCTGTGCATGTTTATTAATTATCGAACTAAGTACAATTCAGGCGTGTTAGTCCTACTTCCCAATATATCAGATTTTGCTAGTCTTGCCAGGGGAGACAACTGTCAGGCTTGATAAGGACAGGTAGACTTGATAAATGGAGTTGAAGAGAAGGAAGAAAAGGCATAAGATTCTAACTAATTTCAATGCATTAAAATTTAATTCGAATTGACTTCTTGAACCTTCAGTGTTAATAACTTGAGCATTGCGTCATTCTAAGTGCAATGGTGTCTGTGAATATCGATTTCCGATATAGTTATTGCTAATCTACCTCCCAACAAATACATTATGCAAACATTTACTGAAGCAAGACAATTTCTGTGAACGCTTATGCATACTTTAAAACTGCCTACTTCTCTTACAAACCTCCTAACCCCATTAAGAGATGTGCTTACAATATTAGGTATGGTAAACGCAGGTATCCTGGTATCATTCTTGTCAGAAAGTCACATTTTACTGACACGTTTATTGACCCGAAGTAATCATTTGTTGAAAACATACACCGAGGAGCATTGACGTCGTGGCCTACGATTTTGAAGACGTGCACTCTTTTAAATACTCTTCGCCTATGTCCCCACATTCATTCGGGCAAATTTTCAAATTATAACAAAAGCAAGCCTACCAAGTAGACAAGATGCAGGTCGGTATCAAGAGCGACACTTCGCCTAGCTCTAGATAGTTCAGCAAACACAGTCAACCCATCAAGAGGCCCAAGAGCTGAGGCAAGAACAGCTCGACCAAGTTGGGTTGGTCTGAGTGCTTCTTCATCATCTTCCAGGCGCATAATCAACCCAGCTTCAAGTAGAACGTCTAGACATGCAGAAAGTAGGGAGTCCGTTTCGGCTAGAAAAGAGGCGCCTGAAGAACGACGCTGAGAGCGGCGAAGAGTTTGAGATGAATCGGAATCGGAGCGTATAACTGCGGCTAAGAGAGTGCTGTCCAGATAGATTTTAGCATGGGAGACAGTTTCGACAATTCCATTCGCGATTACCTAAATGCAAATAATATATATTGAGAGTGTATAAAATCAACAGTAATCAAAATTAACAATTAAACAGCATGCAGGAGAATGTTTGACTAGGAAGAAGTCACATAGATAACAATTTAAAGTGGGGGCAATTGGGAGGTTGAGTAATACTGAGATTACTATTGTGTTAACCGGCGTCACATACAGTTTTATGATTGACCAAGTCGACTTCACTTTGGGAAAGCCATTGAATTCAAATAAATTAAATTAAAAACGTGGTAATGACATTCGAAAAAAGGTGGCAAATTGTAAATTGTTAATGGTTTACCAATAATAGAGACTTTTACACGATTCTACTAAAGAAAAACTAATATTAAATCAGTGCTTTGATTAAAAAATGCTTTGCCAATAAACAAAACAAAGCAAAATTAGCACTTTAAATCAAACACATTCATGAAAAACTTTCTATCATCTTCTAAATGCAGAAGGTGGAACCTGATAGCTTATACGTTTGATTAACATACTTCACATTAGTTTCAAATGAATAACAGACTTTTACCTAATCGTATTTAAAAGAATAAGATACTGACTTTCGCAAATTTACGGGAATTATTTTCCTAAAGTATTCATGAGTAGAAGAAATTACTATCTACCAATTGCACACCATTGGCACAGTGGTCAATATGCACGTCTGCCAAAATCAATACCCTTTGATGTGCCAAACGCCCTGGTTAATTATGGTCAACAAGAGGGTTAATAGAAAGAGAGATTTTCACAAAAGGAGTTCAATGACACATTCATTCAACTTAAGTTAACCGTGATGAACATGTTCCTAATATGCTTTGAATTTTTTTGTCTAAACATTGAATTTGTTAATGGATATTCTGACAATTAGATTCACACACCAGAGCTCTAAACTGGTGGCCTGTATTCACTTAAGTTAAAACCTATTCTTGTAGAGAGTAATGAGACACAATCGACGGAACAAAACTCAGATCGGAGAGAACAAGTCTTATGCAGAATTTCAAATTTCGAATACGGCGATTGCTTGTATTACTAATAAAAATAGCCAATTGATTTACAGGGGATGGTGTAAAAGTGCAAATAATGTAATTACTTAATTAACCTCTAGAGATTTCCATTCAATTTCCTTGTATATTCTTTTATGACCAGTTAGATAAACCATCTAGCAAACATCAACCAGATAAAATTTAGTCACTAGATAGAAAGAAGAACCTAGAGAGATGACCAAGATGGCAAAAAGGTTGAGACTAGGTCATAAAAGTACATCGTAACATTGAGCGACTAACTTACTTCCAGTAAAGCTCTTCTTAAACTCGCCTCCGGGGTCCCACTACGAGTGAGAAGGCAGGAAGAAACCCGAGGGGTACCAGAAGCAAGCAACTGACGAACTTTCGGGAGATCACGAGGTTTGCAAAGTAGGATCGCTTCACCACTAGTGTCAATGCCCTTACGACCAGCTCGACCAACCATTTGCTTGTAATTGATGTAGTCAATAGGTTGGCCATGAAAGAAGAGACTGCGGATTATGACCCTGCGAGCGGGTAAATTAACCCCCGAACTGAGGGTTGATGTAGCGATCAAGAGACGCAAGATACCCTTTCGAAAAGCGATTTCGAGGATATCGCGTTCTTCTATGGTGAGACCTACAAGTAAAAAGTTGGAAAGAGCCGAGAAAATTATAGTTGAACCGGTTTAGAGCTAATTCCCAATAAGACATCACTTACATATAAAAAAAATAAAGCGAGAAAAGCAATAAAAGAGGAAAAGAAAAGTGTAGCCAAACAGCATGAGAAGCCAACTTAACACAGAATGACCCATGCTTTATTAATTCTACTGTAGTTTCTTATTATCGGTCAAAATGCAATAGATTACATTGAACTTACTCAAAACCTACTTCCATATTAGAAGGCTCATTTCAAAAGAATGCGGGAAGAAGTTTGACTAGCGCAAACCCAATTTGTCACTAAGGTGGTAGCGACGAATATAACAATACTAAAAAGGCGATTGCAATCTTAACCTTGCGGTAAAGAATTAAAATTAATCAGGCAAGTGGAGTTGATTGTTAAGTCAGATGTGGGAATCGAACCAGTGGCCTCGGACTTCTCGGGCATTAATCTCAATGCCGCCGATACATATGGTAACAGGAAATATCAATTTGTAAATTCTTTGTTACACCAGTTTAGAATTACCAATTTGATCATAAATAATCTGACGGTATGTCAATCATCTCCTTAGAAAGATGCCCGCAGATAGTCTCTAACATTTTCAAACGATATCAGAAATGGAAGAGAAGTTGTTTAGAGATCAAACATCTTTTTCAATATTTCAAAAGGCACCGTCATTTCTTAAAAAGGCCTGACCCAACTTTAAAAGCATGAATTATCCAAAAGTACCTTCTGCCCCATAATTTATGCGACTAATTAGAGGTTATCTTTGTTCTGACGTGAGGCAACTGTGTAAATCAATTAACAGTGAATTAAATTAAAAAGAAACATGAATGACACAGAAACTTACCAGCATGATGAAAGGCAACTCCAAATCGAATGCATCGAGAAAGAACAGGATCTAATCCTGCAGGGCAACGTTCGAGCTGTTGCAAACACTGAATAAGCCCTAGTTCATCCAAATGACTTCGAAGAATTCTTCCTGGACTGTTCAGTTTATCCGGTGGCCATTCGCTTTGAGGCTTAAGGTAAGGCTCCACTAAGCAGTAAATCTATTGAAAAATGAGTTTGTTTAACATTTAAAATGCAAACAGGGGAAACCTGACGAGCCATAGATTCAGCAAGCTGTTCGCACCACTGTTTGGTTGAACAAAAAACAAGTGCTGCAAATCCTGAGAGAATAGTATCAAAACACAACTCAGAAACTCCATCGTCATTGTCCATAACAGGTAAACCATCCCAAGAGGCTTTAAAAAAACCAAGCTCTGTTGGATTAACTGCTTCAATACATCTGAGTAGGGATTTAGGTAATTCGATAAGCTAATCTAAACCTACTCATAGGCATCATCCTGGCCTGGTACTATCCGATAAACCAAATCCTTTGTATAAATAAGTTCCGTAAGGGGGATCGGTCGGAAATCAGTGGTATAAACGGCAGCTTGCAGCCAAGAACCGATAATAGAAATTGTGGAGAGAGAAGCGGACATTCCGACTATTTGAATTTTGATATCTTCGAAAGATTGGCTCAATAAATTTGATTTGGACACATTTACATTATGTAAACGGCCATAAAGAAGGAGTTTTGTGAGAAGAAGTTCGAGTAAGTAACCACGATGTGGATCGCTAACAAGATGTATTTCATCAACCACAACGATTCCTAAATCTGATAAACGATCCTCTTCGATTAATCGGTTGATTAAATTGTTGGACTTTTCAATAGTGCAAACAGCCACGCGCACAGAAGCTAATCCTCCAACAGGACTAGAACCACCCATAAATCCGCCAACCCGAACACCAAGACCTTCGAAAATTCTCTAAAAGTAAATAATTGACAGAATTTTTAAGCACCTGAAGTGAAACCATTTTTTCTCGAGATACAGCAACATAAGGTAGGATTATGATAGCCTTCTTATTACTTGTCAAAATACGCTTCAAGGTTATTAATTCAGCAACAAGTGTTTTTCCGGCGCTTGTGGGAGCGCAATAAACAAGATTTTGAACTCCATCTTGGATAAATGACTTAGATTAGGAAACACATTACCAAGAACGCCGGGTAATTTCAGACATTCAACTTGCCAAGGAAAAATTGACGTTATTCCAATTTCAGAGTATTTATCAAAAACGGGTTTCGGAAGATATACGCATTCATCTGTAAGTTCAAAATCAACACCAGCACGAAAATTCATATAATTTTAAAATCCTAGATAGAGCATTCAAATATCCCTGAATTTTCAGCAAAACTCGTGAGCCAATAAACTTTTGGTAATGGAAATTTGTAAAGTTCTTCGAGGTCAAAACTATTACACCAATTTGAATAAATAAATTTTAAATACGTACTTTTGAATTAAATTGTTAATTATTTGCCCATAAATAATTTTAATCATGATTTTAGTCCATATTTTATTGTATTAAATTATACCTTATAAGATTAAAGTATGCAACAAATTTGTTGTTGACCTTCAGCTTGCAGATTTTCTGCCTAAGCGCATTCGTCTTATATTGTGCCATTGATGTTATTTCTTAAGCCCTTTAAAATACGAAAGCACACATCGCTTCGAGATACAAATAAGCATGTTTTAACTTTTGTTGAATGTATTTGCATAATCTTTATTTAGAAAGAAGTTGATAGAGCAAGTTATCCGAGACTTTGCAATTTCGTCAGAAGATGCGGATATAATTTTCAGGGATAAAGTTGCAACAGAGATAAAGATTCACACGAATGATCGCCGAGATGTAATGTGCTATCTCTTTGACGAAGTACCGTATGTTTTTGTTTATGAAGAGCAGCTTTATCCTACTGGTGCGTTTCACTTATCAAGAAATTTCATTTAAAATAGTTTTCCTCTTGTCGTCTGTTTCGTCCTCAAATATTCCTGTAAGATATGTCGGCGACACCTTAATTGAACGAATTTACAATGGGTCAGGTGTGGTGAAAGTTTAATAATCGATCGCTTCTTATTAGGTGCCTTACCATGGAGTGCTATTGCTCCTGATTCATTGGTCTCGAATTCGAAAACCCCTCAAGTGTTCTCGTTAGGGGCATATTCTGACTTAAATTCAGATATTCAAGTTTCTAAGCCACTTGTTGTTTGCGTTTCTGATTCAAACTCCAAAGACTGTTCAGTTCTTCACTTCGCTAAAGATAAACTATTGTAATTTATACTACTTGTTTAGTTGTCAGCATGAGCATAGTTTCTCCTAATCTAAAATGTGTCTATTTTAACGTCCAGTGAGTTGTGTCCACCGCATTTACTTCAATCCTTCAAAATTGGCGAAAAGAGCAAATCTAGTTCTACTAACCCTGATCAATTTCAAGAAAACTCTGAACAAAATGAAGAAGGGGAAGTTGACGACAACAAAGGTATGATATCAAACATTTTTTCCTCATTATTTCCATCAAAATTGCATTTATTATAGAGGAACTTAGTTGTGATGATTTGTTGATGTATTGCTTCTTGTACGCTCTTTGCAGATTATCAGAGTCCGATTTACCGTTGCTTGTCAACGTTTTTTATGCGAAGCATATGAAATCTGAATGGTGCGTTTGATTATTTCCGTTAATTTTATCTTTTTCTTCCAGTCCAAAGGGGGCGAATTTGGATATCAGGAAGACTTCCTTTAAAAAGGTTAATGTTTTCCTTGAGAAAATGAATGACGAAGGTTTCATCACCATTGAAACCATTCCTAAAGACATTGTCCGAATTTCATCTTTTAACAAAAGGCATCCAAAGCTTATGGAACTTTTTGCCCACTTTACTGATTTTGACAAATTATTGATAGATGCTGAAGATCAAAATAATCCAACTGCTAAAATTCAACAACCTGTTTCAGTTAAAGTTGGAAATTTCTACTTCGGTCCGCCAACATTTGAGGAGCAAAGAATAATAACATCGAAAATTGCTCCTTTGCTAACTTCTGCAGGATATAGAGTCGGTCAAGGTATTGCTCAATCGGAGCTCTGTCGAATTGCTCGTTCGTATGTCGATACCAACAACTTGAGTTGTTCAGAGGACAGAAAGTATGTTGGTGTTTTGATTTTATCGCTTTTTTAATAAGTTTAATCACTGTAGACAAGATGTTAATGCGTGTTTCTGATGCGCATTTGTTCAGGGAAGCCTTAGGAAGCACCCTATCTGATCCAAAGTTCCAGATAACCTTTTCGGATTTGATCAAATCACTGACGAAGGGGCTGAAAGTAGCCTACAAGGCTACTTATCCTCCAGAAAGTGGTCTGAGTCCTCTCTGTTTAACTAGCAACACACTGCCGAAGATAAAATTGTATGAGGCCACGCAGAACGGAAAACATGTTGTAAGTCAGTCTGCTTACTTCCCTCCACCATCACCACCTTTTTATTACTTTTACTAATAAGGAATTTCGCAGGAGGATGTATCACACTTGCCACCTTGTTTTACTTTAAATCTTTGCTATTATCTCGAACTGTTATCTGAGTTCGCTCAGTAATTTTCGTTTTTTTCCAACTCAAAAGATGAATGTGGCCATTTAGAAAGTGCCCGTTCTTCCCTCCAATCAAAGTTAATGTGCACTCGAGAGATTTAAGAGACTTTAAATGAATAGAATCCTTCACATCTGCCGCAATTATATCTTAATTGTCTCGAAATCTTTGCTTTATCCAAAAGCTGCCGAATATCACAAACACTGAAACTTATGAGTGGAATTAGACTGTAATCACAACTGGAACTATTTAGAAATCTTTGCTTTGTGATTTGCAATTCTCTCCTTACTAAATTTACATTGGCAACTCTGATCATTCTCGCAATCGATTCTTTTGACGTGAACCGTTGTTTCAAATAGAATTAACGTGCTATTATTATCTTTTGAAAAATTTATCTTTCGGTATTCAGAGAAGTTGAACTTTATGATTCTGGTGTAAAAATTCATTTCAATTCTACACGTCGGTAGTGTGGTTTGTTTTTCAGCTTCACATCTTATGCTGTTTCTTCCGTCCTGAATAGTGCCCTATTCTTTTTCTTTTATTGATAAAGTTTATTTACAATTTCCACGTGATTCGTAATTGTTACTCCCTCACTTGTAAGTTCTAAAGAGTTTGATCTTCAAAGTTCATTTGAAAGGCTCACATTGAATTTGTTGTGGGTTGCTATTAGACATTTGGTGTTTCAACTACCACTATAGTTTATAATTTTGTATATCTGGTTAGCCTATTACTGCACGGAAAATCGCTTCAGTGATGGTGTTCCATGGTTAGGTATGAATGTGGAATCTAATGAAACATGTTCCAGTGCGAATTTCTCGCATGCAATAAAAATATTCGCTTAGGCTTCTTAACGAATTCTTATTTTTTCTGGCTTTCAGACCCGAATAGGTGGCTTAACAAACTTTGGTATTGATATGAAAGCCTTTTCAAGACATATTCAAACGAAATTGGCTTGTTCGGCTAATTTGATTGAAGATCCTCGTTCAGGTAATGAAATGGTTGTACAGGCCCAAGGAAACCACTGCATTGCACTATCAAAGCTACTAACAGGTAAGTAGTAGTATTATTGCTATTCCCCTTTGCAGGAACCTTCAACCTTCCCAAGCAATGGATTGATGGCTATCAGGAGCCAGTTAAGAAGAGCAAAAAGAATAAATCATGAAAACCTTTGTTAAAAACTACTGCGCAATCGAAAGATTTGACTGGACTTGATATTCCATAGAATTTAATGCTCTTTATGTCAAATGTCTGATTGTAAATTGAAATAAAGTTCTCTCAAATTCTTTGGAATATGAATCTTACTCTAAAAGCTATTTAGGCTTGCTATGTTAATTCCAGGATTTTAAGCACTATCTTTTGGAGATGTAAGTGAAGTAAGAACGCATGACATCTAATAAATTATTGCGTCTATCGATTAATTCCAATATTCTAGTAAACGATCCGGATCCACATGGTTATTCAATAATTACCTAATTTCAATAAATAAAATTTCTTGCAACTGTTCGTACTGATTGGCCAAATTTAGAAAATACGTCATTCGAAATAATCGATATCTTAATTTAGTACGTCTAAGTGCGCGAAAACGACAAAATGTCCGATGTAAATGCCAAAAGTGAGGAAACTAAGTACGATGCTACAGAAGACTCGAACGTAATTTTGCTTTCGTAGGAAAAATACTTCAAATCTAATAGGTTCAAAATGTCATTGAAAGTTTCCAGGACACTCTACTCAAGATGACCGACAAGCTAAACAATAAAAATATCCTTTTTTTAAAGTCATTACAGGATTTATGCCAGTGTTAAACGTTTTCCTTAACTATAAAGTACTTATTACTTCAGTTGATTGAAAAACATCTAAATGATTTGGAAGAAATGACAGACAAGGCCCTCAAGCGGAAGAAAAGAACAAAAGTTCAACCGTCTTATTCAAGGAAATAATTACAAAAATATATACATATGATTTCATATAAATACGTCAATGGAATTAGATAATTATTCAGTAACTTAGATGGTCTTCTTGGGTTAAGAGGTCAAAAGAGATATTTCTAGCAACAGGTGCAAAACTGGTTTTCCGAAGCAGTGAAGACACAGGGAGCTGAGAGTTATCAGTATTCATAACATTACTGGTTGTTGGTTGCACGGTCCCCGTAGTAGCTTCGACTCTCGACTGCATATAAACGATAACATGGCTTGGTTTATGGAAGAAACAGACTAGTGCAGCGTGGAAAACCACCCCAATAATTACACAGATAATTAGAGGGAGTAAAGTGGAGCCTGCTTTCTGAGAAGGTAGAGACGAGCACTCGAGAATGTTTGACCAAACAAAGTGAGTACGATTTGCAGCATCTACCACGTCAATGCATAACTTACGGTAGGAGAAAGAGTTAATGTCTAGAGGAAGAAGAAATGAGCGCTGTTTGTAACCACTGACTTCATTAATCCATACTTCGTAGGATTGAATAAGGCCTGAGTATTCATTAAGGCAATTCCGACAAACATTTTTGTCAACTTGAATAGAAGAAAATGTAGGAAAATTAACGGAATCAAGGAAGGATACATTAGTGTTTTGAATATAAAGCGAAATACATTCAACAACAATATTGAGACGGTCAAAAAATTTAAGAGTACGGTTATTATAAGCTGACAGGTTGTAATTCGGTAAGGTTTCAGTAGTAGTATAAAACCAAACCGGATAGTAAGCGTCCGAGGAGCTCATAGATAGACATTGATCACAGTAGGCCGTGCGCCAAGTTTTTAGTAAAAACGAAATAATTTCTGACTGAGGCTGAAAATAGACATGGAACATCATCAATTAAGGCGAAAAAGAAAGAACAAATCAGTAATTTACATTACCGAGAGAACGTTTATAAAATCTATTTATTAACAAAAAATATACCTGAATTAGTTGTGTTCTACCAATAAAACTGCTACACAATACTTCAAACTGGTTTTTTGCCGTTTTATCATTTAGAATACTTTCTAATTCAGTCACGTTTCCACTGCACCTGCTACAAATTGCTAACGGATGGCTGACATTGCTGAAGCAAGTATAAGTATTGGTAACTGCATTTGTCAGATTAGTGAAATAAGAAAAGCAATCATCTGCGAATGAGGGGCGAGCGATGATAGCAATCCATATAGGAACTTGAAGTAATGCGATAAATCCATTCATAGTGGCTAAATGTCAATTTTGTTTTTGAACCAAAATTACTAAATGCCGTGTTACTTTATATAATTTATTGAAAAAATTTATCATATTTTAAACATCATTTATTTTTATAAATATTTTTAATTTTTTCTACAATTTTTATCAAGTCAACTTGTCCGTCAAATTCAAGGTCGTTTATGTCTTGTTAATTATGTCTCTTAGTGCAAGGCTGATAAGAAGCATTGTTAAATATCTTCGTCCACCCAGTTTGCAGGTTCCAAATGCCATTAAAACTGGTGCGATTAAAACTCATACTGGGGCGGTATGCTTTTTCAAAATTTAGATAACTTTCCCTTTAGGTATTTGACGAAAATGACGTTCGTTCCGCTCGTTTCATGCAATCAGCTAAGCTCGTAAGTAAATTCGTGCTATTTGCGCTATATTTTGAAATTTATTATGATTATTTAGTCGATTTATTTATTATGCGTCTTAATAGGTGAATAAGTCATTTGCCTTGGAACTTATTGAAAGCGTTCCTCCAAAGAAAGTAACAGATCGTATAGTTTCCTGCAATGGGGGTCATGGAGCCCTAGGTCATCCTAAAGTCTACATCAATTTGGTAAGTGCTGGAATTTATTTCAGTTTTATTTCTCAACAGGATAAACCTGGCCCTCATACCTGCGGATACTGTGGCTTACGGTACGAGAAAGTCGATTCCCATTAGACTCAAAATATCTGGACTCGTAGCCTAACTTCATTGTTAATAAATATTTATATTAAAATGCGTTAGTTCTTTCCGAAATCAGGAATAAAAGTTTATGCATTTGTGATTGAGAACTAGATGTTTGATTCCCAATTGCCTGGTTTCGAAATTTACTTTCATTTGCACTTCGAATTCTCAATCAAAACTAGGATTTTTCTCAGAAAGCGAAAAGGTTTAGTGGTCTTTGGTTAAATGACGTGTAAGAAAGGAAGTCCACTTTGAGGCAACAATGTCAGCATCAATTAAATACGTGATTTAGGAAGTCTCCATTTTAAGGTTCAAGTGAAGAACATTGTCCAATTGTGATGTTTCTTCCATGTTTTTTTTTAATTCTCTAGCCACCGAGCAAAGGGGCTACCATCTGGTAGTAAACCTACATTTCACCCTATGTGAAGTGCAAAAAGTGAGTAAAATGTACCGCCCACAAAAACTGGCTGTTCCATTTATTATTGTGATAAGTGCTGCTTTTTATAACTGATATATCATCTTTATTATGTTCAAGTAATGATAAAAGTAAAAGAAGGATTATGTACAATTGCATCTCAGTCGCTATCTTCATAGGATACAAGACTAGAAAGACTGTTTTCAATGTTTGCATTTTCAAGCACTGGTGGATTAGTTTGTTCTTTTCGTGTTTTTCGTACTTTTCCTTCTTTAAGTGCTTTGGAAAGGGACTCATGAGCTGAAGGAGTGGTTGTAGACACAATCTCACTTGAATCAAAAGCATTAGCCCGCTTTTGCAACCAGTGGGAAGTTACACGTTCCTTAGTGACCTCAAATGCATGGCTACCTTCGGCTTTCCGTTTAGAAGTCGAGGGTTTATCCGTTTCGATCAGTGGTTTGAGTTTGTTTTCGATCGATTTACCCACATGTTCTAAATCATAACTTGGAGAAAAATATGAGCAACATACTTGTGTGGAGGAGGCACATAAGCTTTGCCTTTTTCTCATCCTCTTCTTTTTCTGGCAGTAAGTTTACCTGAGTCCCGGAGAGTGATAATCGACTCTTCAACGCTTCATCTTTCTTATCTACGGCTTTCCGAAGTTTCTTATTCTCCTAAAAGATTAATAAATACAGAAATTAAAAAGAAAACAATTTTTACTCGAAACTGCTTCCTTGCGATATAGTTTAGTTCAAAGTCGTCCTTATATCCTTCCCGATTCGCTTCAATTTCGGCGATAGCTGGATGTGTCAAGGCCGCTTTCTCCTTATCCTTGACACTATATTCAACCTGGTACATTGCGTCGAGGGACAGTTTCTGCCTCTCTTTGAAGTCTAGGAGCAAGGCTTTCAGGGTGTTGTGCGTAACGCTAACCTGGCACCAAAATTTGTTCGTTTTCTTCAGGATCCCATGTCTGTATTTTGCGTCGTATTCCCTCCACGCAAATGTAATCGAAGTTTTGAGGATCTGTTCTCATAACGATCTTGCCGGCACACATCGCGCAATTCATCGAGAACTCAAAAATTGGTGTTGAGTGATACATGCCGACTTTTGTCTTTTCAGCATTGTACCTGACACCCATGCCAATCGGTTGCTTGCAGGACAAACACCAGGCATTGTAGGGCATTTCAAAACGAATTATTATGATACCTTTGTCGGCCTTTCGGCCGCGCTCTCGAAGAGCATGGACTCCGTGATAGGCATTAAGACTTCTGTGCTTAGAGGGGTCGAAGTCCGGGGGATAATATTTATTTGTACCTTTCCTTTCACCCTAACAACTCATAGAAAAGTAAGTAGATTGCCCTTACCATATTGAAGTAGTTGTACTGAGTGCTTAGTCAAGGTCGAATTAAAACAAGACAACTCTATCTCTAATTAGCTTATTGCGACCTTATATGCATTAAGTATTTAAGTACTCCGAAATAAAGAATTCGCTAATTACTTCCGTCTTTTATTCTGTCTATTTAAGTTATAGTTGTAGTCATCAATAAATTGGCTATTTTGTCAGTTCCTAGTTCATTTATGATAATTATTACCAAATAATAATGGTTAATTCCTTTAAATTTAACTTTTCGAAATTATTATACCATTTTGACTTTGGTCTTACAACTTCGTTAATTAATAACTTCACTTTTGAGGCATATTTTCCTCGTTCGATTTTGTTCTTTGTCTCCTAGAGCATTTTAGTTGATTTCTAATTCATGTCACTTTAATCTTGTCTCATTTGTAGTCAACTGCTGATCGTACTGATTCTTTTGTTAGCATATGTTCTGCTACACCACTTTGGGGCTCCCAATCACCTTTGCAATACTCTGTATGAACAAATAAAAGCATGCTTTTCATACTGACGTGGTTCTTACTAAAGAGCAATAACCACATGGTCCGCTCACCGTAATTAGCATCTTTCTCTCTCTCTGAAGGGGCCCAAACGACCTCTTTTCCCCTAACAAGTTCTGAAGTGATTAATTTCACGATATCTATACCAATATTTTTATTTTTTATTCTGTGTAAACCCAAAGTAAATAATAACAAGTAAATTACCGTAAAATTTTCCATCAGATTTATTCCTGCAAATATTTTAACTTTTTGTAACAGCCAATTTCGTTATATATATTTTACTAATAAGTAATGTGTTATAGACTGTTATCGAAGTGGTCCGATAAATTTTAACGATGTATATAACTCATTCACCCATAATAAATACACTTATTGATAAATTATTTCAATAATGTGAGATAGACAAAATCCAACACCCATTTATTGTTTGCCGTGCAACTTACTGCTCTCTTTGCCCGGCTTCGTCAAAACGACCATAAGCTCATGCCTAGTTTCAAAGTTTGGAAGATTCATTGAATGGAAACTTTCTCTGTACGAGCTCTTTGCTTTGAGAAGAATTTTTAAGCGAATAGAGTTCGTAAAGGTTCAAGTAACAGTTAATACCATTTACTTATGAGTTCATTATTGACATTATTCATCCTCAACTGTTTATCCGATTTGTAGATTGACATCGCGTTCATCTGAGTGAATATAATGATTGCTATATAGTTATAAATTGCTAAAGGGGTTGAACAATTCAAAATTTTCATTTTAAAATAACGACTGAAATCGGGTAACAGTGAAGTTCAATTAATCAAAAAGTGAAAGGGACCAGAAGTATTTTGACCGTAGAGTTATGGCATTAGGAATGGTACTTCATTCCATTTTCGAGTTCTGGTGGTGCATTCTAAGGCTCACCTTTCAAAGCTCAAATTTCACGATTTGTCGCTTGGATTATAGAGAAAATTCTTGCCTACGATGTTTATTGTCGATTGGGTGGCCGTTTTATTTTAAACGTTGACATTGACACTTTGGTTCATTTTTTCACCCAGTGTTTGAAAAAACATAACGGGGGTACACGACAGTAACCAGCCCATGGATTTTAGGCGGGACTTGTGAGAATCCACTCAATATGATCCCTGAGCAAAATTGGAATGATTTCATAACATAGTGATATCGAATTTAAGTCCACCCTCAATATACATGTTAATTTTTCTTTTAACACGGAATTTAGTACTCTCTTTTGGTTCAATGCTGGAGTTAAAAAAGGTTGATCTTTAATTGGAAAAAGTTCTTTCTAAAATTTGAAGCAGTGAGTACAGCCAAAGATCGCGCCAAAATTCCAACCCATCTTCTTCTTTTCATTTAATTTCCGAAAGTACAAAGACAAGAAGGCGGAAACATAAATATTCTTTCAATTTGTCAATAAGTGCTTCAACCACCATCCAACCAAACTCCCACCACAAAGTTCGTCCACCTAATGTACTCCTTAATTATATATATGTATGTATTCCTGCCCACTGCATACACTCACATATTCGCCCCAAAGCTATTGGCAAGACTGGAGGGGAAGGGGGGTTGGAAAGCGGAGGAGGTTAGCTGGCCGGTGGGCTGAGGGGAAATCAGGCCGATGTGATTGCTTAGAATACGGTTAATGCCTGCTAGCAGCTTAATTGAAAGTGACTACAGACAGAAGAGAATTCTGCTACTACAGCTGGCATAGCGGTAAATGGGTATTTGCTGCTTAGAGTCAAGGAGGGGGGGGGGTGGAGAGGGAGAGAGACCAATCCAACTAACCGCAGGGTTGTATGTATGCTTGCATATAATTGAGGTGGGGTGGGGTGGGATTGGCCACGAGGAGTAAATTAGTGAATGGCAGAAATGGCGCCGTTCACTTTTCCTCAAAGGGGGAAAGTAAGTTGAAATGTGAAGGCTTAACTTTTTGTTCAATTAGCCGTGTAGATATTCGGGGGTTTCTAATGAATACTCCCTGAGAGGTAATATTCTTTTAACTTTTAATAATTGAAAAATATTGAGACATTTAAAGAATTATAAGTTGATTTAATTTCTTAAAACCGACAGAAAAGTAAAGAAATAATTGTGTAGGAAGAAATATATATTTTATTATCCCTGCGACCAAGAATAAATTTTTATCTCAACCAGAGTCGTATAAATTTGACAAAATATTACCTCTTTTCAAATGAAAAAGCTAATTTATTATTCCTTTCAAAGACAGGAGTTGAATTGGAGGTGTAAATCTTTCCTCTATTAGAGTTATCCTTAGCCTTGGTGGAGCTACATATTTGCAGTTTTGATAACAAAATGACACAACTTGAAGGTAAATTTGAAGTGGCCCAAGGGGTGTCTGAGGGATTTGCGAGAGGAGTAAGCCATTACTAGTTTTTTGAATACTTTTTCACGGATTGAATTTTCCTTCATTTCATTGGGGATTGGACTATGTCGCGTCAACATCGTTCATGAATGTTGCTGATTTCGTGTACCCGCCATTTATTAACAGAGGTCTTAAAACAGTCATTCACACGACTGGGAATCATCGCAATTCGTTAATTGTCCGAAATTTTAAACTGGTCAGTTCGAAGAGTCAAAAGTTACCCTGATTTTGTTGCATCCTTGGCTTTCTAATAAGCTCAGGAAGGATTTCCAATTGGATTTATAACCCAAATCGCACCCTCTTTCTCATTGTCTCCTTAAATGCGAACCTTGGGGGTGTGCGACAGACTTACCTCCACGTGGTGCACCCTGGGCAGCGTATGCTCATGCAGCAAAAAAGTCTTTAGACTGACAGTTGACTTCTGACTTCAAGCTATCATCTTTTTTACCTTTATGTCTGTCTCTTTTACATACTTAAAACACTCTTCTGTTCCCCCCCCCCTTTCGACTTTTTTCGATTTGATGTTCCTCTCCCTCT